GATTATGCTGCGAAGTCATCCTCTCGGCGAAAATGGAAGCTGGTAGCGTTCATGCCCGGCGAAGAAACTTCCTTCTCCATGACATCAGTTAATGCACAGGTGAATTCCTTCTAGGTTCTCGCTCTGCATTTTTTAAGCCGCCGTTTTTATATTTTGGGTAGAAGGGATGAAACTTGAAGACGATGGCCTCTTACAGTAAGTAAATTGCCGTTGAGATTCTCGTAGGTATATTGAGTCAGTTGACAGTTCGACAAAAAAAACAAAAAAAAAAAAAAATGAAGTAGATGTCAGAAGTGGGATTTGAACCCACGCTCTCTCACGAGAACCAGAACTTGAGTCTGGCGCCTTAGACCACTCGGCCATCCTGACCTTGTGGTCCAACGGCTTCGTTTAATTAACATATTATTAAGAAAACAAAAATAATTATTGGAAAAATTATGTATTTTCATAAAGGCACTAATTAAAATTTGATTTGTTAAAAGTTATTTTTAAAGAAATTAATAATTATTTTATTTTATTTTGTTCTATATTTGGACTTAGTCGCGTGTAAATTATTTATCTATGATAAAAAATATTTTGTTATATAACAAGTTATCGTAATATTAAAAATATTTTTTTTATTTATATTTTCATCTTCTTTTTTTTGTAATAAATTATAATATTTTTTTAAAGAAAAATTAATAATTTCTTTATTTTATACGATCAATTATCGAGTACTTTCATTAATTTTATGAAAATAATAAGTTTATTTGAGCTAATGGTAAAAAGAGGAATACATTTTAATATCAATCAACTACAAATTTTTAGAGCACTTGAAAAAAAATTTCATTTCATATATTATCATCAACAGCAATCTTGTCATTGCTGATTTTCTTGGCCTCCCCACTTCTTCATGCGCTCTGTTGTTTGCTCCACCTGCAAGTCAATCATCTCCAAATATGTTCATCGCTTTCTCTCTTGCCAAACAAGAATGTCACAATTAACTACGTTAAACCGGTAAAAGAGTAATCGCTCTATACGCAAATAAAAACAAGACCATCTTTTTGTTTCTATCCGGAGAAAAAATGGGTATAAACTGTCTTTTTGATTCGTTTATCTGATTCCGCTAAAAATAAGTTCGACTGTTAGAATTCTATTGAAGCTTCAGCCGAAATCAAGGTTGGATTTCTGAAAGGTAAAGTGAATTCTAACACTAACCTCCTTATTCCAATTGGTTTTGTAGACAACAAACAGGAGAAGCAGGGTTTGCAGTGCTGTCCCAGCTATCATTCCTCCCCAAAGTCCCTGCAATAACAAAAACGATTTTTCGGAAAAGACCCGATTCTAAGTTTGCATTCAAACCAAGAAGAACCAAAGAAGAAGAAGAGAAAGTCAGTACCTTGACACCCAAGTTTGCTTTGAAACCCAGAAGGTACCCAAGTGGGAGCCCAAAAATGTAATAACAAGCTAAATTGATATAAGCCACCAATGCCTGCCATCCTCCACCAACAGCTACACCTAAATAAATTGATTTCAACAAAAAAATCAGATTATAGAAATTTACTACTTACAACTTTTTGCTTCTAAATCGATAATCTTATACCTGATATTACTGGCTGTATGCTGTTGAGAACCATAGTGACCCCAAGAAAGTATGCTAGCTTAGAGACAGCCTTCTGTAGATCTTCACTGTTTGTGAAAATTACAGCAAAATGATCCCTGGCTATGATGATCCCAACCATGCAACAAAGGCCAATGAGGAGAGACTCCATTACTGTCACATATACACAGTATTTCGCTGCTCTAGGACGTCCCATTCCGAGCTCATTGGAGACTCGAACACTGCGTGAGATCAGAGATAATAACCATTGATTAGCCTGTGATTTGTTTTGTAGAAAAACAGAAATGTATTTGCAGAAATATTACCTCACTGCAGCATTTATTCCAATGAACAACATAGCTTCATACCCATTGAAATTCATGCTGAAATACACAAGCAAACATATAAGCAAAATATTATAGTTCTTGCTGCACTATAAATAATTGACTGGGTCTTTTCCTATCAATCTGAAACTTTTGGCATTATAGTTTCAGTATAGAATCAGAGCTAGAAGTCTTCTGGTCAAATATTAGGAATCTCGTTTGGTAGCCCTGTACATTTATTAACGTTTTCAGTCTAGTGGGTTTATGCGTGAGAGAGGATGCGTTATGATATAAACATTAATTTAACATTTCTCGTCAGTGTAAGTTTTTGAGATAATCAACTCAATCTATTATTTAAGAGTTTCAAACTTTTGGGAAATTTCAGTACGGTAGGTTTATGCATGAGAGAACATATTATGATATAAGTAATTATTTGACATATTTTTTATTAATTTAAACTTTTAAGATAATCAGTTCAATTTATTATTTAAAAGTTCTGAAGTTCAAAATTCGTAATATAGATCACGAAAACTTACCAAATAGAGAGGGAATCAACTGCGATGACAGCATTATCAAGCCTGGCAGTGAGGATAATAATACTCATCATATACCAAATCTCAAGGCAAAGCATGATGGCAGAAGCAACAGAAAGCCTAACAAAAGCCCAAATCTCCTTGAAAGCCAACCATGACAATCCCTTCCAACCATCTTTACACCAACCAACAACATACACAACCTGAGCTATGGCAATCCCCCAGCTTGTCAAGTCAAAAGCTATGGCTGCACCAGATATCCCCCACCCAAACACGTATATAAATAGCCAGAGAAGTCCTGTGTGGATGATCAGAAAAATGAACCCAATCCAGGCAATAGCACTGACCTTGCTCTGAGCTTGGAGAAATTTTGATGTTGGAAAATTTATGGCCAGTGAAAATAGTTGAGGCACTGTTAGTAGAGAGAATTCACCAGCAGGAACAGCTATTGTGTGGGATTCACCAAGGAATTTGAGGATTGGAGTGGCAAAGATGTAAATTGGCATGAGAATTATACATGATATCCACAGTATAATCCATGATCTTTGCATATAAACACCAAGCATGTCGATTTGCCCAGCTCCAAAAGCTTGTCCACATAGTGTCTCAAGCGCACTCCCCATCCCAAGCTGCAAAAAATTTTTCATACAAAATTCACCACCCACTATAGCTGTTTGACTGGAAATGCATAGTTTGACTCTAACGAAGACAAACATAAAATCTTCAGTTCGACTCAGAATTTACAATCTCATGCATAATTTGTTTTGGATTAGTCAAAAAGTACAGAGGGTATTCTCTTGACAAAGGGACTAACCTATAATTCATTTACTAATCAATTTATTTACTCTGTTACCAGTACTTATCATGTTGAAAATCATTCAGGAAACAAAAGAAGGGGAAACCCATTTTCACCATCTCCTTAATTTTCGTTTTAAATCTGCATATAACTCTTCATGGAAACCCAATAACCAGAATATGAACTTCAACACCAAGCACACAGAGATAAGATCACAAACATGTCCACCAACATACATAAATACGTCCGTACGCGCACGCACACGCACACGAGTGTGATTTGGAGGAAGATGGCACTCGTTTTAACAACCCAAGCACAGAAAACACAGAGCATGACATTTGTTAGAGGAGACAAGGAAGAAGAAGAAGAAGAAGAAGAAGAACCATGAAGCCGAAAGAGAAGGTGCCGATGACGGAGAGGGAGAGGGCGACGGCAGAGAGCTCGAGTTCGCCAATGTGACCGGCGAAAATATTGGTGACGGAGTTAATCCCGTACTGACACATAATGTTGAACGCCAAAGGCGCCGCTATCTTCCACATCTTCAACGACTCCGTCCACACCACATGCTTCACTTCCGTCCAGCTCCTCGCCGGCCGGTAGTCTTCCCCCACCTCCGCAACGAGCAGTGGCGCCTCCATGTGATCCCAGCTCATTGCCCACGTGTACGGTCTGTTATGAATGCGAATGAAATGCAGAGTTACCTTCCAATCAATACAACCTGATGCAATGACTTTGTCCTGCTACTTTTAGCGGTTCGTTTTCAAGAATTATTAAATGCATATACGTAGAGTAGATATAAACATTAGCCAGCTCTTCCCAGCAAAACGAGAGGTAGGTAAGAACACGTATGTATGTAAAGTACATATAAACACTTTACAGGAAAATAAGAGGTAGGTAGAGAACCCCATATTTTTTTTACAGTAAATTATAATATTTATTTAATATGGTAATTAGATTTTAATTTCTTTCACACTAATAACTCCAGTTAAAAATTTAGAGATTTACTACTAATTCAACGTTAATTTAGTATTTAATCATTAATTTACAAAAATAAAGTTTGACTTTTTGCTAATAAATAAAACATAATAACAAATTAATTAAGTTTGACTTTTTACTTTTGTAAATAACAAGTAGTTCAGTTTTCCGCCTTTTATTGAACGACTTACCAGCGCGTGACCAACCACCAACCACCACCTTACGTTTGAAAATTGAAGGGTAAGACCTGCGTGTCCTACTCCCCGTCATTTGGGCCGGTTCGGGTCTCTTTCGGGTTGCCGTCCGAGCCCATTAATAAAGCCAGAGCCCAAATCTATCTACTCGGCCTACAAAATATAAAAACATGCTAAAAATTCAGCTATAAACTGACTCTTACGTAAATGTGAATATAAAAATTGTATTTATGATGATATAAAAAAATTTCCGACTATATACTATTTTTTTAATTTGATTATTAATTTTTTAATTAATTTACCTTTTAATTTTTTAAATTAATTATCAAAATAAATAAATTTTTAAACACATCATACCATTTGATACCTCATTCCCACTTTGAAAATACATATAAAAGCATGTGTCTCATATAATATTTGCAATATATTGAGTTTTTAAATATTATGCTATTAATAAGAGTTTATCTTTCATGAAATTTGATTAATGTTTGTCTTTAAAATTATGATAGATTAGTTTTAAAAAATTTAAATTTGATGTAAATCTATTTAAAAATATTTTAAGTTACTAATTTTAGAGTGAGGGAAATTAAATAAATTTGGACCGTTCATCACGATCGATCTCGTCCGTCCGATCGTGCTTAAGAAAAAAAAAATGAATCTGGATCGTCCATCGCGATTTGATCTCGGTCGTCCGATCATGCTTAAAAAAAAGCAAATTCGGGCCATCTACGCGCACAAGATCTATCCTAGATCGTTCGATCACAGAGCACGCGGATCATCTGCGTGACATCCCGCTTGACACCGACGTCAGCGTGTCTTGTCACGCAACATACTCCGATTTGTCGGAGTTGCTGATTGAATAGTCCTACGTGACACAATTTTTTCTATTTGCATTTTGACTCTACGTTTTTAACTGTTCTTTCAAAAACACCTCTCTAACCTAAATTTTCATTTTTTTAAAATTATTTTTGATTACATCTCTAACATATTTTTTTCAATAAATTCAATAAAAATTAAACTAAATTAATTATTAACTAATTTTTTATTATTTTAAAATACTAAAATTAATCACGTACCAAATTCTGAGTCCAGGTATTACATAGGTTGTTAATTTTAGAGTGAGTGAAATCAATAAAAATTTATCTTCTCTTCATTCTGTAAAAATCCCAAAAACAATTTAAATTTATACTTTCGAAATTTGACGGTCTAAGTTTAAAAAATTATTGGAGCAGTAGCATTTGGATCGATAACGTTATAGTAACCATTTCTTCGTAGGATAAGTAATTAAAAAAGAAAACCCAAATTAATTTTTTAATTAGTAATATTTTTTAAATATTAAATAAATTAAAAATTAAATAAAAATATAATAAATTTGAACCAACTAAATAAGGGTCTAAGAATTGAAGAAAAATTACATGTGAAGAGGAGAAGGGTCCCTTTTTTGTGAGTTGTAGGGAGGAAGATTGGGAGAATGATTGGGAAGAGATATATGGTAATTAAAAGGAGATTCTATATGGTCCTCACATTTAAAAAGTATATTATAAAATAAATATTGCAATGATTTGGGTTTGATAATTATGATGCATGCATAAATATTGTCGGAGATGTAAAATTTGTGATTCTGATTGTGTATTATAGGTTGGTGATACCCGTTTTATAATACTTGATTCGGATTAATCAAAAATTTTATTTACTAATACACTGACAGTCTCGTTGTGACTAAGTTAAATACAAATTTTAACACATTTATTACGTTTACAGAGTAAAATAAATATTCTTAATGGTCTAACATTTTTCGTAATTATAGTAGTTACGATAAAGTAAAATTTTCATTTAATATTTTAAATTTAAAAAATGATTATTATTGTTTTAGAAAGTTTAGAAATGATAATAAAAATATAAAACAATAAATTCATGTAATCATAATTTATGATTGAAATTGTTGATATTTTTTGTGTTTTATAAAAGATTATAGATTTAAATCAGATTCTCAGATAATATATATATATATATATATATATATGTAAATTAATTAATTACCCACCATTTTGTAATATCAAATTTTGAGGCATGGATTTCATCACATATGATTTGAAGCTGCCAGCATTTAATATGATGAGCAAGAACATATCTCTACATATAGGTGGGTGTATATATATATATATATATATATATAGGATTTTTGCATGTGTTCATGTTAGATTAATTTAGGTTGGGAAAAGATGACCATATCTCATTGTTGAATGAT